TCTAACTAATTTTTTTAATTCAAATTGAATTTAATTTTTTAAACAGGTGGCAACCCTCCTAAAGTTATGTTAAGAAAAAAATATTTTCAAAACACTTTCCACTGATACCCATTATGTAATAATTGATTTTTTAGAATGAAAATTTTTAAAAGGTGGCAACTTTTTTCAAAAAAGTAAAACCTATCTGCAGTCCAAGAGTTTTAATTTGACACCTTATTGTGGAAAAGCAAACGAACGGTGCATTGCTTATTATATAGTTTATATTCAATTGGTCTACAGGTGGCAACTCCTTACGAAAAAATAAAACCAGTCTACACATCTACAGGACAAGCGCTTTAATTTGACACCCCGGTTTTGAAAATCGAACGTACGGTGCAGATCTTTTATGCGGAACAAAAAATGCCTTCGCGTATTATATATGTATACATATGTATAGATCAGTGGTGCACACGGGAGTCTCCGGGAGCTACTCGGCTTTCAAATACAAGTCGTGTGTGCGCAGCTGCCGAACTTATGCGCCGCTAGCAGCCGGTCAGTTTGCGTTTGTACTTCATGCTGTAAGCATCACATCCGCGAGCTGTTTTGCTGAGTACACACATACAGATACAAAAATATTGCGCTTGTATTGGGAGCTCTGCCAACGCTGTGCACCACTGGTATAGATAGATTCTGCAGAAACACAACAGCGAACTCCAGATTAGCTAAGTAGCAATGTCATGCTAAAACAGTAAACTCTCGAAGTCTTGCACGATGCACGAAATGCAAAAATACTATTCCAAATTTCGAAGAGAATGAGAGCACCCCATTACAAAGTGGTATCATGCATGGCTAGCAAGCAGCGAAATTATGTATCAAATACAATAACAATAGATAGCAAAAAAAAAATGAAGTGAGCAGAATGAGAAAATTATGAAGCAATTCCAACAACAAATCAACTAGCACAAGGTCGCATTTATCTTGCTATGCCATTTTGCAAAATATATACATGGGTTTCGACGTTGCGGCGATAGGGAATGTTCTTTCCCATGTATTTTGTTGTTGTGTGTTTGCAAGTTATGCAATCCATGCAATCCGTGCTACGTGCAATGGCTTTGCTAGATTTGGAGAATACCCCTTAGTATGTTTGAGATGGAATGACATAGCACAACACCTTGTTTGTGCCGACATGACTTAGCAATGCATGAAATTTTTTGAAAACGACATATTTACAGAAATTGTTGAATTTTGCAGTACTTTACTAAGTATCAATTTTTCATTTAATACTCCTTTTGTATTATGTAGTTAATCAGTATCGTATTACAATAATTCACTTCACAGTATACAGTCCGACAGTAATTTTGCCACTTGATTCACTTCGCGTTTTATTTTCTTTCAAGATTATTTGAGGATACATTGAAAATTATTTACTTTCTGTTGGAAATTTCCCTCTTTATATAGCTTTAGTTTTTCACTTGATGATTAAAAATTCGTTTCTCTGTCACTCTTTACGTATCTGCGCGTCGGTTAGAGTTGAGTTGGAGAATGATGTTGGATATCAACTTGAGAACTATGAATTTCTCCTTTTTAGCTATATTATATTTTCTACTATTTTTACCAACAAAAGCTAAAAATCTACCAGTATTTTACGGAAAGAAAGCAAATGCACATATGTACATATTTTGTCATCGAACACGCCTAGTGATGTTCCGATATCAGTACTTAGAAGTATACACTCGAGTACCTCTACCAAGTACTGAGTACTTTTTGTACTTCGATAAGCGTGTACAAGTACTTCATGGGTGTTGAGTACAAATTTGCTAAATTTGGAAAAATCTACTGAAAATAGGTTTAGTTTACAAAAAAAAACATTCAAGATGGGAACCACTCAATTTTACTAGATTGAAAACCAAAAGCGCGCACGAAAATGGAGAAGAAAAGTTGTATCGAATTAGAGCAGGATATGAGGCCAACATAAGGCTTTCGAAAGCGTCGTCTAGAATTCGTTTTGAAACAGAAGAATCAAACACAAGTAAACGATTAGCTTTCTCATTACGTAAGGCCTCCTGTTTTAGCACTTTCAAGTTACCCCGTTTCAAAAGAGGAGGATATGAAAGGTAATTTTCCGCACTTCATAAGCCTTTCTCCACTGTATGTTAACGGTCATTGAAGTAAAATTTCCCGTCTGAGTACTTTCGAATACAAGTAGAATCGAGTATTCCCTAGCGATACTTTGAGTAGCATCGAGTATTCTCTTCGACACTTTTAATGAGTACAGGCATCGAGTACATGGTGGTATCGCACGAACACTAAATACACCTTAAATTAAAATTAAAAGGTAACTTTGACGGAGAATAATTATTTGAGTATTTCCCCCTATTAAATTAATACAGGGCACGAATCAGGGCATCCGTGATCGAATCAAATTTTATAAGAAATTTCTTTTTGAGCATTCGGCTTTTTCAATTCAAATTGAACAGGAGAAAAACCAGCTCTAATTTTATTTCATTCGATAACGGATATGTTTTTTGTTGAAATTTTCGCGTGAAATACGTTTTTGTTGTTTTATATAAAAGTACAATTTATCCCATATTAGGTAATAGCAGGAGTACGGAAACAAAAATTACACAAAAATATTTTACGCACAATGTCAGTAAGAATTACATCAAATACATCATTTTGCATTAAGAGCCGCCAAGGCAAAAATCCAGCTGCTCTGGTAACACCATCTTTTATTTGAGTAAAAACTACCTGCTACTGTTTCTTTTAAAAAACCTACCAACTTCTTCCATTTTTTGTAAGTAAACTCTACCAATATTAATTTTTTCGATGTCCGTGCACTGGTTGGAAGTCATGCAGAGTCCCTACGGCTTCTAGCGCTGTGGCTTTACCGTTTAAAAACTCTGGAATGATAACTTTTGTACCACCTCTATATGCTGAGAGCACCGTGAGACAACTCCGGAGGAGTTGTGATGCATCAAGCGGGATTGTTGAGCATGATTTGTGGTGCCAGGTTTTGTTTTGCAGCAGTTGAGAAGTGCATGTGCCTAAATAATTTCTTAAATGAAATTTTTGCACATACAGCTTTGCACATGCCTGTATATAAATACACATGTGTTTTATATCCGGTTTGGTACCAGTTGCTTGGGGCATACCTTAGGCACTAGGTGTTATAAGTCGCGTAAATATTTATTTATAAATACAATCCAATAGTATTATCATATTGAATATTTTTACACTGAAATTCAGTAATAGATAAAATACGGATTTTTTATTTTCATGGAAGGTATGAAGGCTTTGGCATAGCCGAAGACAGCTCTCTCTTTACTTGTTAAATTTAAGAAAGTCATATTTCGCATACAGATTTCCCTTTATATCAGTTCAGTAATTAAATATCTGAGTTTTGCACTTTTTTTTAAATACTATTTTATGGGAAGTGGGTGTGGTTATTAAACGATTCAAATTATTTTTCAAACACTTTTCTTAATAATATGAACAATGTTATGAAGACAATCGTTGAATGATTTTTAAGATTCAAAGAACCCATCAACAGTGGGAGTGGCGAAGAACCAATTTTTAGTGATTTAATATGAACAAACCATAACAATATTTGTTTAATAAATTGTGAAATTCGTTTTCACTCATTATACATTTAAAAAATGGGCTGGACTATTCCGCTTTTTTACGAAATCGGAAACCGGCATTAAAAATTCGGATTTTTAGAAATTGGTAACATTTACAAAAAAGGAACTTTATTCTTGAAATAATTATAATAAAATAAAAATTGGTAATCGGTTCTAAAAACCGGTCCTAAAACCCGGTATTTTTGAAATTGGTATCCAGTACAAAAAAAAACTGATTTCATTTTGGAAAACACAGTGAAGTAATTATTGTAGGAGTAAAGTTTCAACAATAACAGATAATAAAAAGAAAGATCCATCAAACATCTAGTGACTTGGAATGGTGTTACAACATTTGCATGTGTAGGTAAAAAAGCTTTCACATTAATTAGAATTTATAATAGGTAGGTGAATACTAATAAACAAATTTATCAACTAAGCAAAATATTGTTTATCTTCCAATTTAATTTTTGGAAAAAATCCGGGCCCCGCACAGTGCCGCCTAAGTGGGCAAAACTCGAAAAGCTGAAAATATTACGAAGAGTGTTGCCACCTGTTTGTAAAGTCGAATTTAGTTAAACTGAAATATTAATTACGTCAAACCATAGGTTTACGCCATGGTATTTGTTATTTTATTACAAATGCATACATTGCCAATCAGTGATTTGTTCTGATTACATTCCTTTTAAATAACTGGACTCTTAAATTCAATCAGGAATGTTTTCACTCTTCACTTATTTCTTGCTGAATCTGTCCAATTTTTTCATTTGTCTGATACTTATATTTATACACATATTTCAGTTACCTTATTCCCTTAATTAAAGTGAATTTAATTTTTTTTAAATGGGGCAACCCTTCTACGTGTCGCTTAGAAGTAAAGCATTTTCAAAACCATTTCAATTGATACCCTATTGCAATAACTAATTCATTTAACTTATTAAATAATTTTAATAAAATTTGTAACCGGTGGTAACCCGTCATCTACAGGCCAAGCCCTGTCATTTGACACCTCACTGTTGAAAATACAACGAACTATATAAGCTACAAGAACCAAAATTTTCAACTTCAATTTGCATTTACAGTGAAAGTATGAAAGTTATCCAAAAACAAATTGAATTTAGCGACCTCAATTTTACTAAGAAGCGAATTTTCATTTAAATCCGTTTATAATTCTATTTTTGCCCACATTTCATATGGAAGGGAAGAACTGTGCCCTGGGGGGAACACCCCCGACCCCCCCACTCCCTCTCGGCGCACCTGTATATGCGCTTACAAGTGTAGATTTGTATTTTCTAATTAGATTACTTATTTAAACATGTAATTTCAACTAAATACGAGTAATTCTATTTAATATGCATTCGTGAAAGGAATTCAATTATAGATTTTAAGCTGGTACGCTATAAGTACAGTATGATACTTTGATTTATTTTCCACACGAGTAATTTTACTGCCTTCACGGCAGTACCCTTAATGAGTAATTTTCCATTCAACATATTATTAAGTTAAATACTACCATAGTACGCACGTTAATATGTTTATCCACCAAAATGTTATTTATTTATGTACAAATGTTTATTGTGCGCACAGACATGTGCAATATTCACGAAGACATATTGACAATACTATTTACAATTTGTGTTAGTCGTGTATTGAAAACTGTGAAGGCAATTTAAATTTTAATTCCCTGTTTCTCTGCCTCTTTCTTATATTTTGACGCATATATACCTTCAGGGTCATATTTAGCTTGTAGCTGTGCCCATTCTTCAGACTTGTTATCAATGATGTAACGAATAACTTTATCTGTGTTTTGCTTCTGCTTTTCACTGCATTTGCTACACTCAGTTTTGAGTGCATCGGGAAGAGTCTTTTTTAACTCTCGCCCTTCTGGCGTACACTTGCCAGTTTCAATAAGACATTTGAAGTAGTTGTTGAATAAACGATCCGACTTTAAAATCTCATCGACATCAATGTTATCATACTTAGTTGTGTATTTCTCTTCGGCAACAGCGAGTGCGGCAAAAGCTAAAATACCGGATAGTATGAGTAGTTTCATTTTATCTGTAAAACCTGCAATTAAAAGTCAAAAATAAAATCTGAGTAAACTTGTGTGTACATATGTATGTATGTGCATGTAGTCAAAAGTTCAAACTGGACGCAATAAGTATGCAACTTTTTAAAACACATGATCATGAAAAAAGTGTGCAACAGTATTAATATTGCAGAAAAAACTATTACTGAACTTTGTATTCAATCGCAATTCTATTAAAAAAATAGTTAGACCTTTGATTTAGTATGCCGCGGCAAACGGTGGATGGTTTTTATTTAAACTCTTAAAAACTATGTAATTTTCGGCGAAATTATAGTTGCCAAGTAGCTACTGATACTCGCCGATTAAAGTACAAAACCGAATATAAACAAAATGCAAAACCGCGTATCAGGGATAATGCAAAGCCGCGTATGCGAGGTTGCATATATTATTTTCTAGAGAATAAAAACACTCATATCTCAAAATGGTTCTCTTTTTTATAAAGCTGGCTAGTATATTTCAGGACGAATAGGTAAGGATTGAGCCAAGAGCTTGTGTGAGCAAATCCAATTTTTGGCAGCAAATGTCAGTTACGCGGTTTTGCAGAATGACGATAAGCGGTTTTGTACTTTAAACGACGATATTATAATTTTTTCAGCTTATGGCTTAGGGCAGGGCTATTCACGCACGGCGGCCGAGTTTTCAGCAAATAGTACCAACACTATTTTCCAATTTGATATCCTAATAACGTTGTTTATGAGTCATTCAATTAACAAGCAAAGCAATATTTGCTAAATACAACACAACCTTGAACTAGATCTCATTGTAAAAAATTTACATTGTTTTTATCTACGTAGTAGTGTTCACTTACTGCGGCTATAGTATGTGCAAACGAAACAAAAGACTTAAGTGACGAACGTGTACTGCGTTATATCGTCAACGTTTACTAACTGCAATTGCTGTCGAAAATATCCCGCTTTTATAGCATAGGCAATCGAAACGACTGTATGTGTACTATTAGTTTCGCTGGTAATTAACTTGTTAAATGCTCTTATAAGTACTAACAGCCGAACAAATAAATTAATTTCCTTTTGATTTCTATAATATAAGCCATCAATAAAAAAATCATAAAAAATGTTCAGAACAAATGTGATGAAAAAATAGTTTTCCATTAAGTGATATGCGCTTAAATTTTAAACACAGTTTTACCTTTATAAATAAGAAAACTCGCATGTTCACCTTAAATACTGGCGGATTTTTGTTACAACAACCTGAATATGGAGTGTGTATGTATATGTTTATAGGGTAGTTCTCATTAAAATAATGAAACAGGCGCAGGTAATGGAGTGGCCGGCACAATCGCCGGAGCTAAATCCCATCGAAAATCTGTGCGGTGATGTCAAGAACGCAGTAAGAGCAGCTAGCCCTAAAAACAACGCGGATTTTGGAAAAAATAGTGAGAGACCTGGTATGCTATACCCACTGAAAGGTGTCAAAAGTTGGTTGACTCCATGCAACGCAGATGTCACGCAGTTATCAAAAACGCTGGACATGCTACAAAGTATTAAATGAACGACTCACAACTGGAATTGCTACCTTTATTTTAATTTATATTTTAATAAATAGTTGAATATATACAGTGCTGAGCAACTTGAACTTCAACTGTATTTAATTGACACAAACTACACAAGTTATTCGAGGTTTTTCTATACAGGTAAAGCGCTGATATTTTTGTGAACATAACTTTATACTGCCAAAGCTTAGCTTTAATAGTACCATCAACATATTCGAAATTTTGAACCATTTAATTGTTATGTTGTTAGTGAATTTGAGCCACCCTTTTAAAATAAATATGTATGTATGTCGCTAACCACCAGTGTTGCCACAAAAAAATTACCAAATTCCTCAAAAACAAATGAAAAATCCTTAAATTCCGAACAAATTACTCAAAATGTTCTTATTACAGATATGAGTATTGTAAACTGTATGCTATTTACAGGTAAAAATTAATTACATTCTCCAATTCAATTGGTACATTTGTTCTTGCGGTTCAAACAAAGTATCACCGTTATTTTTTATGAGTTGGTTTGTATATGATATTGCTGCAACTATATCAGTGCTCAATCTGGTCTTCAAGTCAGTCCTACACATTTTTAAACTACCAAATATATGTTCTACTGAAGCAATAGAAAAGGGCTATATTAGTAGTGCAGATACATATTTTTTTCATTGGGAAACTTATATGAAGAATTTTTAATTCAAAAGCTTTTTCCATTATTTGTCTGGATTTAATGAATAATCAATATGAATATCCTTATGATCGAACAATGCGTGTTCTCTGCAATCGTTACTGAGATTTTGCAAACTCAAAATAAGTTGAAAATATAACGATGGAATGAAAAAAAATTATCGATAACATTTTGAATATTTAGCAGATGTTCTTAAGAGCGAAAAACACCACATAAGCGGCTTAACAAACCAAGCGAAATACACCTTTCCTTCACGCTATTTATGTTGTGTATGGGGCTGTTTGAAGGTTTGACCAGCCGTTTGAGGGAAATATGAGCGAAAATCAAAAATTCTTAATTTTCTGGCCGCCATGTTGACGCTTGATCAAACTGCTTACGTTGTGTATGATAAAATCGCCTCATTCACAACGAAATTTTTACCGAATGAGGATGCAAGAGAGAAAAATCGAAGAAAACTAAACCCTTTTACACCAAGCCAGAAGAAATTCTTTGCTTAAACGAGTCATGTTTGCATGGTGTATGGCGAAATGGGAAAAGTAGGATTGAAGAATGTTTGACAAGCTGCTTGTGTGGTGTATTTCGCTCTTTATAAAACTTCGAAAAGCTCTTTGTTCAAAAATCTGCAGAGCGATTTAACAACTCTCTTGTGTAAAACATGGTTAAGAGAAAATTCCTCAAAATAAAAATCCTCAAAAAATACTAAAGCGCACCCGAAACTCCTCACGTTTTGAGGAATTACTCACACAGTGGCAACAGTGCTAACCACAAACCAACTTTTAAATAAGTGTTTGTTTGCCCATTGTATGTATAATAAGGGTATTCATCAAACCTTATAAATGCATTGTAAACCGTATAAACTTATAATTGTGTAAAGCATATAAATGAACTGTCAAAATTTGTATGGAAACTCGTTTACACATTTCTGATAAATTTCTCCAGCGATTTCACTGAATAAACTTGATAAACTGTAGTCAATGTAACTCTGTCGCAACTCTAGCTATGTTTTCTTGGGCAATAATCGNATATAACTGAACTGTCAAAATTTGTATGGAAACTCGTTTACACATTTCTGATAAATTTCTCCAGCGATTTCACTGAATAAACTTGATAAACTGTAGTCAATGTAACTCTGTCGCAACTCTAGCTATGTTTTCTTGGGCAATAATCGGGATCCGCATAAAAATTTTGCACGAAAATTCGATAACAACGATGGGATCCTGATAGAGGTCTGGTTCAATTATTATCCGTTCTGTTTGTTTTGTTTCACTGATAATTTGGCCGCAAAGTTTGGTAGTCGTGACAAAAGAATTCATACACAAACAGACATTCTGCCATTGTTTCTTTTAACNTCGGGACAAAAGAATTCATACACAAACAGACATTCTGCCATTGTTTCTTTTAACTTGCTTCAAATAAATAGCCTATATGATATATGTATATTTATTTAAATAGATATTATCTCGTAAATATAATTTTTTCCCATTTAGTGAGTTAGTTTATATAATTTCTTTATCCTCGTGCTTCTAGTATAAAGTTAGTGATACTGAGCTCTATAAACAAAGAAAACACGACTATTGTCGCATGTGTAAACGGAAAGAGAGTGTGGGTCGTTCATGTCACAGAGTGCGTAAACTTATAATTTTATCTGCTTGATAAAGTTATCGGTTTAGATGAATAACACTAATATTTTGTTTGTTTTCAATACAAAACCATGTGTAATTACCACATACATACATATATATACGTATGGATGTAAAACGGAAACTACTTCTGAGAAATTAAGCAATAAAAGTGCTTAATTGACATACATACATATGTACATCAATTTCAGTTAGAGAAGGAATTCAAATGTACATATATATGACTAATGTAGTTTCAGGCAGTTTTGTTTTTGAAGTGAAACTTCTTTAGCGGCGGTTGGTTGGTTGGGAGTAAATTGACAAGTTCAGCGGAAATTGCACACGGAAATGGTGCAACGGAAATGATGCAACGGAAATGCTTGGGTCTGAAACAAGTACTTCTTGTGTGTATGCAACGGAAATGGTGCAACGGAAATGGTTGGGGCTGAAACAAGTACTTCTTGTGTGTATGCTTATGGTATGAATTTAACAAAAACTTGCTAATAAAAGGTTAGAGGATAACACTTAGAAATACCAATACAAGAATGAAAGTAAAGGTGAGTACGTGCATAGATAAAGAAAATTATAAAGGCAAAGGTAAAAATAAAAACAAAAACAAAGATGTGTAAAGATAAAGGTAAAAACGAAGACCAAGGTAAATTTAAACACTTTACTTATATATATAAGGGCAAAGATGAAGGGGAATATGTTGATGAAGACAGTGATAAACATAAAAGTAAAAACAAAGATGAGGATGAGGACACCGATAAAAGTAAAGATGAAGATAGGGGAAGAAAGATTAAAATATTAAAATGAAGTTAATTAAAGAGGAAAGGATATAGAGAGAGACACGGGGACTCAATCTGGGAACTATTTTGGGATTTTAGAGATCTTTGGGATTCTCGAGACATCTATAAAATAATCGATATTGTTATCGGTTTTGTTATCCATATTTTTATCGATTTTGATATCGAAATTTTTATCGGTATTATCAATTTTGCTATCGATATTTTCGGGACTTATCGATATAATAATCCATATTTTGATCGATCTTGTTATCGATATTTCTATCGATTTGTTATCGATTTTGTAATTGATATTTTTAACTACTTTGTTATCGATATTTTTTATCGATATTTATCGATTTTGTTACCGATATAACTCGATTTTGTTATCGATATTTATCGATTTTTCTATTAATATTTATCGATTTTTTGTCGATTTTGTTATCGATATTTATTTATTTTGTTATTCATATTTATCGATTTTGTTATGGACATTTGTCGATTTTGTTACCGATATTTATCGATTTTGTCGTCGATATTTATCGATTTCGTTATCGATATTTATCGATTTTGTTATCCATATTTATCGATTTTGTTATCGATTTTGCTATCGATATTTTTATCGATTTTGTTATAGGTAATTTTATAGATATTTTTATCGATTTTGCTATCGTTTTTGTTACCAATTTTACTATCGATTTTGTTATCGATTTTGCTATCGATATTTTTATCGAATTTGTTATCGAAATTTTTATCGGTTTTGTTGTCATTTGGGTTTACCAACGGGTTTGGGAGGAAAGCGCAAGCTTCACGCAAGTCTTCGTCGATTACTTTATTACATATCTTCTGTAACCATATGCTAATTTGCCCAATTTGGGTCCATTATACTCCGTCTTTTGTCCAATATAATTCTNACGCAAGTCTTCGTCGATTACTTTATTACATATCTTCTGTAACCATATGCTAATTTGCCCAATTTGGGTCCATTATACTCCATCTTTTGTCCAATATAATTCTTCATACTCAGCAATCGAAAAGACTCGGAACTGGTGACTAAGGAGGGCATTCATTCGACCAACAGTCGAATACAGTTTTTTTTATACTAAGTCTAAGAAAAAATACACCTGAAAAAGACGTGCGTGCCGCATGTACTTATCTCCCGAAGCTGACAAATGCAAATAAGGATTAAAATTTTAAAACTATTTAATAAAATTTAAGTAGAATCTTACAAAGTTAACAAAAAATACTTTTTTCTNGGAACTAGCGCTTTGCCAGACTGTCCCTAAATTTTGCTGCAGGGTAGTAAGCAAAGTTAAGTGTGGTAGTGAAAAGNTTATTTTACGCCTTGTACTTTGCCATT